AGGGACTATAAGGACATGGCAGCCAAGAAGCACTGTTTTCAAGAGAAAAAAGTGGTCAACATTGTTGACAGCTAAAGAAATGTCAATGATCCAAAAGTACTCTTGAAAAATTTCAGAGATATTGGGACAGAAACCAGACTGTAGAGCTGTGGATTTCAGTACCTTAACATAATATACTTGTGCACTCATTTGTATTTTTGTGTTGAAACACTTTGGAAATGACGGGAAGGAAAGTACAGGTTGGCAGGGTGGAAGTGATGTCCAAGCTGATGGTAGGACAGGGTCAGTGGACGGGTAGCGTGAGTACAACTGTGGGCTAAGGGGAAAGAATGAAGCAGCAGGGGAAAAAGAAACCCTGATGGCAACTGCGAAAACAGGAAGAGATGGAGAGGTGAGAGGTCACAAGAAGGACAATAAGCACATTCAACAGATCACAAGGAGATGAAAAGAGAATGGAGAGGCCTGGAGAATATGAAATACTGGGGAAGGTGGGTAATGAATTTCCAGGTAACAGGTAACAAAATAACAAAAGTAAATGCCAATGGGATTAAGACTGTTGTTCCCAGGCAGGCATGGTGGCACATGCCTGTAATCCCAGCATTCGTGAGGCTGAGGCAGGAGGATCGTCACAAGTTCAAGACCAGCCTGGGCTTTGAAGTGAGCTCAAGATCAGCTAGAACTCTATAGCAAGACCCAGACTCAAAAAGACCAAAAAAAAAAAAAAAAAGAATGCTGTTCCCAGCAAGCCCCCAAAAAAGTTATCAGGAAAGAGAGCTGAAGTTGTAGAGAGCACTGAAATTCATTAAGGGCTGTAGAAAAGAAAACTGTAAATTGAAGGCTGACTGATGCAGACAGGACATGGTAATATGACACTACCTAAATGGTTAAAAGTTACAGTGGTGCTCTGTCTGTCTGTCTCTCTCTGTCTATCTGACTGCCACACACTGAGCAGCCCCATTCTACCGCCCACGCCTCACCATCAATTAAAAAATTAAATAAATAAAAAATAAAAAATTACAGTGCTGCCTTGTTCATGAATTTGATTTTTCTGCAATTTTGGAAAAGAAGGCTACATTTGTGTTTGTATGGGAAAGATGGCTATGGCATGTTTGTCACTCAAGGCAGAGTTTGCAAGCAAAAATGAAAGTTTTCCAAAGGCTTCTGTTTACAAATCAATTTGTTTGCAAACAAAAGTGTTTGAGATACTACTGTAATTGGTAAAACAGTGTACAGGGCACAATGGAGGACAAGAATGCCAAAAAAGCATGGAGTAATGGGGTGCAAGGCTGGAAGAGACACATAGTCATAAAGGGGTACGTATATCCCACATCTGTCAAGCATATTCCAAAGAAGATCACAAGGAGAAAGAGGTTAGAACTGAATCCTATCCTAGAGATTCATCATTATGGAATAACAACTTGCCCATGACTGGTAGCACATGTACACCTCTTGTTGACTTAGTTTAGTTCTATGACATCTTGTACAATATGGGCAGATCAAATAAAAGCATTAACATTCATGGACATTTATAATTCATACATGTGCTTATGTGAACATCAGTTATCAAAGACAGTAAGATACACAAAGATAAACTGAGGCAAATTCTTTTTTTTTTTTTTTCGTTTTTCGTTTTTATCGGTACCAGGGATTGAACTCACGACTGCCTACTTGCAAGGCAGGCGCTTATGCTGCTGAGCTAAATCCCCAGCCCCGCTGAGGCAAATTCAATGCTACCTGGAATAGGCTCACCAGTTTCTTGATACTCCTGAAATTTAAACGGTAAAGATACTATATAGATATAAGAGGAAAGCAAAAGCAGGCAGTCAGATAGATAAGTAAAACCAAAACCACATCACAAACTGCACAATCTCTGAAATTCATAAAGGACTTATGTGGTAGTCTAGAGACTCCTGGTAGGTAAGACTAGGTAAGATGACACTAGGTCATAGAAAGGCCAATGAAAATAACTTATTAAAGGAGGAGGAACAGGTTTTTAAAAAGAAACAAGCTACAAGCAGCTATCCCTGTACATTCTCCTTAACCTGTCTTACATATACACAATAAGCAGAAGAAAATGAGCATGTGACCCAGAATTGGGTGTGAATAACATTTACATAAAGCAGCAAACTATACTTCAATGGCCATGTCAATTACATTTATGTCATCTCTTGCTTCTTGATTTTGAAATAATTCCTTCATCTTTAACAGTGCGGAAGAGATTTCTTCATTTACAGGTATGTGTGTAGAAGCCTTATTAAGCAATTAACCCAGGTTGGCAAATAAACACCCTGCTGAAGTATCAAGATGAACACCAAGAGATGTGGTAGAACAGAAAATAAGAAGAATAAAGATTTGTGCTATAGAAAAAATAAAACAATTTCCTTATATTAAAAAAAGACAAATTATAATGAAGGTGATGACTTTGATACCATCTTATTATAGGCAAGTATAAGCATTTTCATAAGACAGATTGTATAACATATTATTTAATATTCAACTTTACGAACTGCAAAGGATATATATTATTGTTCCCAGTTAACAAATTAAAAAGATGAAGCTTTCTTAAAAAGGTTGTCAATGGGGACACAGAGGAGTCTATGATGCCAGAACTCATGACTCCTCGAATGGCCTTTTTACAAAGAATAGGTTTATCCAATCATTGTGTATACACACGTGTCTGGTACATCTGCACACACCTGAATGCTAAGAGCAGTTAGGGAGGTGCAGGGCCAACACTCAGGACAACAAGAGAGTAAATAATGAGTATCAGACTACAGCACTGTAACTTGCCTTTATGAACAGAAATATTCTTACCTCGCATCAGGTTCTTCTTTGAATAAAACATTGACATTTTCATCGCATTTGGGAACCTGCTGTTGGCTTCCAAAAGCTCTGGCGCCATACCATGCTATCACTGTAACTGCTCTCCAGTGAGCCATCAAAAAGCCAGCTAGAACATTTTGAATACAGTAGTTTGCTTGCCACCAGAATGCTAAGTTGCAATATTTTATATTTATCTCTATTTAAATTTTAGTGATGCTGCATAAATGTTAACATGGTCTTATACTAATACAATCACAGAGAAGTTTTAATAACACCACCTATTGGCACAGTCTCTGAATGACTTATGCATGCTTCTCAAGTCACTTAGTTATTCCCCCTCAATTGGGATATGATGTGATGATACTACACAGTTCACCCATGACAGGTATTTCCAGAAGCAATGGCAAGGGATGATTAGGATAGCCTGTTCATGCTGAAGGTAGAAAGTATTTAATAAGGCAAAGGTTTCCAAAAAAGATCTGGACAGAGAGAGATTAATGTTTGATTTAGTTCATTTCTGGCTTAAGAAGCAAAAAGCAAGCCTCAGTAAGTTCTCTAGTATCTAAAGCTTGTAGGGATAAGATCCGGGACTTCCCTAGGGCTCAAACTGCACCTAACCATGACAGACTTGAAGACTCTCTACCTTTACAGTGGCTGTACCAATTTCCCTGGACTTCCTGGAAAGATCCAGGATGTGAAACTGAAGAAGATGAGTTGCCCTGGAGGCCAGTGCTTGACCATCTATAATACAACCACAAGCCAATTAGGGACCGTCTTAGTTAGTTTTCTCTTGTTGCTAATATAAAATACCCAATACTCAAAATTAAAGGAGGAAAGGTTTTTTTAGCTCTCAGTTTGTAGAGGTTTTAGTTCAATAATCAGCTGGCTCCAAGGAAGAGTGGCACATAGCAGAGGGGCAACCATTCATGACAGTGGAAGACAGCAAAGCAACAAGGGAGACTCTTTGTGTCCCTTATACAGTATACCAGCTACTCACCCTAGGGTGAGTGCAGCACTAACACCCTGCTCCTAGCCAGAACTATGCCAAACCAATCAACAGCCTGAGTTAATAATCATACAACTTTAATTCCAGCATCACACACTCTAGATTCAGTCACCTCTGAAAAAGCCCTATGACTGCATGAGGCTTTGCAGGGACATCTAGACACAAACCCCAACAGTCCTAAAGATCCAGGTAGGCAGGGATAAGGAAATTCAAGGCCTACAGTGCTCTCCCTCCCTCCTCATAGCACAAAGCTTTGGCCTTCGTAGCTCTGCCATTTATTTTACCATGAAAAGATGCTGAAACTCTTTCAACTTGAGGAGGCACCAGATTGAGATTCTAATTAAATAAATACAAGCATGGGTAAACGCAAAAGAAATCTTTTCAAAACAAAGCCTACTATGGTAAACATGTTCAAAACAGCCTTTCTCCTGCAGCATCACAATCTCCCCATCTGGGCAAGGTCACCACACTTCTCTTGCAGCAAGTATCAGAATATTTTTTCCTGTTTTAGAGGTACGAATGATACTACAGATTTTGAAAAATGGGAGGAACTACAGCATTTCAGTGGCAGCGGGAAGATGTCCTGCCCTTTTTAAGATGAGCAGAACAATGTGATGTCCACACTTTTTTGCATCATTCTTTCAAGGCTCGGTCTCCCTATTCTTTTTGCCTGACCAGTTTTCTAGCACAATCCAAACTAATTGAAATTCTACAGAACTCCTAATTCAGAGAGCACAATGACCTGACTGCATGCTTATTGGTTCCAGACAACTAGGAGAAGACACATTCCCCTTGAAAGGCCTTCCGTGATCAGGTTCATCATTTATTCATTACTACATGTAGGTTTATGCCAAAAAGGTCAACTTTTGGAAGTTTATTCTCCTCAGTCACTACAATCTGTGGCAGGTCTAAGTTCTTATTAGCATTTTACTAAAACAGAGACTATGACCTAAGATCTGTTATTAAGTGTGTGTGTATGACGAAGAGAACAGAAAGTCATAGACAATAACGTGAAAATCCTTATCTACTTGGAATAAAGACAGAATCAAATTCTACTTTCAGTGGTCTTACACTGAAATTTGGGTAGAGATGTGCACAGGTGCAACCTTAACCTTCTTCAAGTTAATTGGGCCACACTATCTAGCCAAAAGGACATCTGTATGCAGCTCACCTGGAAAAGGCAGCCCCCAGCACAAACGCTGCATACTCTTTCACCAGGGGCTCCGTGCTGTTCAGCCCATTGATCAACACTTGAAGACCACCAAAGGAGAGTAGGTCCTGCGCATTATCCATCTGTAACAAAGGTATGGCTTAGTGTAGGACACTCATCAAAGGCAGGAAAAGCTCTTCTGACAGTCTTAATTTTGGTGACTATCCAAAAAAAAAGTTAAAAAAAAAAAGTTTAAAGCCAAGTAAAAAGCACCAGTGGCCTTCTTGACTAACTAGGAAAAGGTATGTAAAAAAACAAAGTAAACTTCTAATGATCTTAAATGTGAGAACTCTTAACTCATATAACATACTTACAAGTACCTGCGTGGGAACCAGCATGGAGGCAGCTAGCTGTTGCTCACACCAAACATGTCCTGGAGAATTCTAACACCATGTGAGTCACAAAGCTTATCCCAAACATACAAGCTGTTAACACAAAGAATCTGGTGTCATGAGCACCTATAACTAAATGGTGCCATGCTTCCTGTTGGAGTCCAACCCAATGGAGGCAGTAGAGGCAATAGACATTTTAAAAAAAAAAAGCTGACTTTTAATTAGAAGCCAAGGACTATAAAAGAAGCCCTGTTGATGAGGAGGCATGAGTGGGGGAGGGAATGAGACAACAGCACTAAGACAGGAATAACAATAGCACCCTTCTTTTCTAAGGTTGACTGAATCTGAGGACATTCATGATAAAATCTGCAGAAAAGTCACTCTCACAAAGGCTGTAGTCTAGGCCTGTAACTACATATTTAACAGTACAAAGTATATCTATCACTATGTAATCAGCTGAATAACTTTAATATATTTAAACAATGAACCCAAGAGATTGTAAAAAGGTCTCACTGCAATGAAATCAGTACTAAATTACTGTACTGATTTCTCAGAATACATCTCTCATTTGACTTGTAATGCACATGTTGATTTTTATGACATTTAGATTATTATTTTAAACTAGTATCAGATTACCATTTTACTAATTAACTTACTAAATCTTATATTTATATATGAAAAAATGAAAATCAATCAATCCCCCTACAAGCACATACACAAAGGCTGTCTCTTACCCACAAGCTGATCCCACTCTACAAATCATCAGGAAGCTAGTGCCCAACAAGGTGCTGACTACCTTTTTCCTCCAGATTTTACAAAGCTGTTTTCCGTCTATGTCCTTGCCTCTGCCTCCTGACTGAAAATGGGTTCTAACAGAGAAATCAAATGTGACGTACAGTGTCTGAGTCTGCCAATGTTTTGGGTGAGCTTTTACCACTTGGAAGATCATTTTTACACCTTTTTTTTTTGAGACAGGGTCTTGCAATGCAGTTCAAGCTAGCCTTGAACTTAATGTAGACCAGACTGATTTTGAACTTACTGTGATCTTGAGTGCTAGAGTTATAGGCATGTATCACCACACCTGACTCACTTTTATACATTTTGACTGACTCTCTACAACAGCAGAAGTTTTAGTCTGTTTATTCACTGTTGCAGCTTTTTTTCCTCTTCCTCCTCCTCTCCCTCCCTTTCCCCCTCCCCCTCTCCTTCTCCTTCTTCCTCTTTTTGAGACAGTGTCTCACTCTGCAGTTGAGGCATGAACTTGCAAATGATTCTCTTGTATCAACCTCCCAAGTGCTGGGCTTACCATACCCATGTAACAGTAGCCTAGCTACTGTTACAACTTCTATGACTAGAACAACTATGACTAGAATAGTGTGAAGCATATAATCAGGTACTTGATAAATAATTATTGAACCAAAATCTATGGGTTTGATCAGAAAAAAATTCTTGAAATAAAACTGTACTATGAATAAAAAAAAGCAATCAGACATTTATCTGCGCCAACAAAGTAAGTGGGCTCCTCTTACTATTGACCTGAAAAAAAAAAATAGCCAATACAGGCTATGAGGAGCAAGAAGGCTGGCCTGCTAAGGCTAGGCGTTTTTGCCCCAATCTGTCCTTTCAAAGTAAGGAATACTGAGGTAAGCCTGGCTAACTAGGGAGATGTACAAGCAGATTGCTTTACCAAAATAAACACCAATCTTCCTTACCTGCTGTGATTTTTAAAATACGTGAATCTACTGATGCCTCTCCTTTGATCCTCTTTGCTCTAGGATTTACAGATACAAAACCATGGCGCAGAACCCTTCACGCTGTACTTAGGGTGCCCTTATCAAAGCTGGTATGACTTCCAGGTAGAACAGCTGCCACTTTGTCAACCCCAAAGCAACACAGCTCAGTCACAGAACTTCTGATCTAGATTCAGTGCCTCTCTGTTGCTACAACAGTAATTCCATGTAGTAATAATGCTGACATTTATTTGTGAAATCATGTTAGTCATTTGAGGTATTCTCTCCTTTCTTATTTCACTGATAGTGAAGAACGGTCATCTGCCCACTGCACATCAAAAGCTGGGCCCTCCTCAGCATCAGACAGGAAATGCATGAGCAGGACCCAGGTGCGCAGCTCTTCATTTGGGTCTGCACCCAGAACTTGCTCAGCTGCCTTCAGGTTGAAGTGGCACAGGTGAGGAGGAGAATAGGGAGTACATTAGGAAAGGAAAGAACTAGAACGCTGACAAGACAATGAGTGAACAGAAAAAGGGAGAGATGGAGGTAAATAATTAAGGGGTCACACAAGGGAAGGCATACATACTGCCCTGGGGGAGATGAGACAGCCAAGCTGCTTCTCATAAGTAACTCACAAAGTATTTTCTACACACAAGGTTTCGCTTTTCACATATCCTATTTTAATAATTCAAACATGGCCATAAGGAATCCTTGGGCAGACCCGGTTCAGGTCCTTGAAGCCCAAACTTCCTAAACCTCCATTCAGTGAATCTGGGAATAGGAATGGGCTGAGCAGTTCCTGCCTAGAAAAATTCTAACTCCTTAAAGTTAACACCCATTCCCCATCACAACTGGAAATCAGGGCTAAGCTGTGTCTTCTACAAATTCCCAGTGAAATAATGATTTAATATTGTTATATGGCAGCTTAAAGGGCCAACCCAAGCCAAGGCCCTTAAACTTCTAATATCAAAGTGGCAATGACCCATTCATAAACCTCTGCCAACAGAATGAGCTTGATCTGGGGAAGTGGGATGGTCCTATGACGACTTCAGGTTGAGTCTAATAATATCCAAGAAATGGTTTACCTCTCCAAGTGACCTGCGAAAGTTTAATGGGATTTTACCTGAGGGATGATACTGCCAGGTGACCAAAAGACCTGCAGTGGGTGGTGGTGGGGAATGCTAGCCCAAGTCTCTTATGAATTCTTTTCTACATACGGCTAAGCTTTCTCTCTAGTCACTTTGGCCTTTCATGTGCAACTAAAGCAAAAGCCTATAGAAACCTGACACCCAAAGGTCCATCCAAGTTGTTAAGATGAAAAAATAAGTAAATAAAAGCTGTCAACATCAGAGCAAGACGAGCTGGCCAGTAACCCCTAGGGTCCTTAATACTTTAAATATCTTTAACAGAAAAGCTGTGGGAGTTTTTGTTGGGGAAAGAGAACCCAGGTTTTTTTTTTTTCTGAGAATCACAGTCCTGCTATGTGAGACCAGAGAAAAAGTTATAAGCAGAGAAAGAAGATGAAGAGGCTGTGCCATAATTCCTGTAGATACACTGCACACTCTTCTTTCAACATAGAAGCTAACAAAATCCTAAACAAAGTAAAAATGCCTTTTAGTCAGTTTATAGAGAACAAGGACACTATCATGTGTGGGAGGATCTATGCCTAGATAAGGCTCTCAACAAGCCTTTGATTATGATTGCATAGCTTCTTGGGCCACATCGTCCCTCCCCTGTATTACCACAAGAGCCTCCTAGCTGGCCTCTGCTTCTCCCCATGCCCCCACCTCCAGCCTCCTTGTCAACACAGCAGCTGGAAGGGTCCTTTTTAAAATAAGTCAGCTTCTGTCATTCCTCTGCTCCATACCCTGTAATCTCACTCCTTTCCACAAACTATGAAGCCTCTGTGTGCTTCACATTAGCTCAGAGCTTCATTTGCTTTTCCTCTCCATACACAGACCGCCTTGTGGTTTCTCAAACAATGATGCATGCTCCCTACTCATGACTTCTGTTCTTGTCCTCCTGCATGGGATGCTCCTTTGACATTATCAATTCCTATTCTGCTTTTCTTTTTACTTTTCTGTAATATTTATCATCTTCAAATATATTATTTATAATATATTTATTTGGTTTCTCTGTCGCCCTGTCTCTATTAAAAGACAAGCTCCAGTTTTGCTCCCAGATGTATCTCAAGTGTTTTGAACAGTGCCTGGGCTTAGCAGGCACTCATAAATTCATTTGAGACTCTATTTCAAAACAAAACAAAAATGCTATTTATAGTGGTATCTATTCAATGAGTTGTAAAAGTCAACAAATTAATATATACGAAGTAGCCAGACATGGGTATACCCCTGTAATCCCAGCTTTGGGAGGCTAAGGCAGACTGCAAGGCCAACTTAGGCTACACAGTGAGTTCAACACTAGCCTGAATTGCATAGCAAGACTTTGTCTTAAAAAAATAAAAAGCAGTTTTGAAGCAGTGTCTGCTTCAATAAAGCCCAATAAATACTGGATATTTTTTGATCAGTTACTTTTCTGCTTCAGGCACTCCAATGATACACTGAACTAAGGCTAAAGCCATAATGAACACATTAGCCCCAATCTCAGCTCTCTGACGTCCCAGCTTCCTATTTTACCTGCTACTCTACCCGCCCTCCATCCCAGGTAACTGTACTCTAGTCACCCCAATCTTTCCCAGGCCTTCAATCTCACAAAGCTCTTCTTCGCCCCCAGAATTTGTGCACATTATTTACTCTGCTCAGAATGCTCTAATACAAGAGCTGGCAAACTTTTCCTAATGAACCTGACAGTAACTATTTTTGACTTGGTGAGCCAAAAAGTCCCTGACATGACTACTTAAGAGCAGCTAGAGCTCTGCTGCTGTAGCATGAAAATAGCCACAAATAACAAGCAGGGGTGACTGTGTCCCAATAAAACTTTATTTAAAAGCACAGTCTTCCAGCCAGAATTGTCCAAAAGTACCAGTTTGCCATCCTGTCTTCTAGTTCCCCCTTGTTACCTGGAAAACACCTAATCAGCCTTAAACACCTCAGCTTAAATGGCACATCCTCTGAGAAACCCTCCTTTATTGCCCCTGACTAGGTCCTATGTTTCCTCTCTGGATCCCTTAACATACTCTCCAATTACTTCATTATTTGTCAATTTGTTCAACTATTCATTTTTTATTTCCTCTTCTAGATTATAAGCTGCATAGGTCAGTGACTATGGATATTTTACCTCTGCACATCATCCGTGCTTAAAAAAAATAACTAATGCAAGTGAAAAAGAGGCTCACTTTGGTTTCTAAGAATGTATCAGTTATAATAGACATTGGCCTAGATTGAAAACAGCCTATGCCTCAGGAGAAAAAGGAAAAGAAGCTGATGCTATTTTCTCAAGCCTTAGGGCAAGAGGTTATTTTTGGAGCTGTTAATTACAATTCAGATTTACGGACAAAGAAATAAAATACCTGATGGACATAATACTCGAGATCAAAGAGTGCAGCAATCTTCTCTTCTAGGCTGGAGCTGGAACTGTTGAATTTGTTGATCAGCCGTACCATAATCTGCATGTCAGTCTCAATAACAACATTCAGCTCATCGAACTCCTTCTTCAGCTCCTCAATCGGGCGGAAGAGCCGCTTTACCTCAGCCTGCCTTGCCTAAGGAGAGTGACAAAGAGGTGATTAATTGGAGACATAACTCTAAGACTTGTATGGTCTGCAATGGATGACTTCCTAAACAACTAATCCTGATACTTTCTAAGATGTCCAGAGAAAAAAAGCCTTCAGAATCTTCCTATTTGATCCCTGCTCCAAAAACATACTTAAGATTTTTTCAGGTTCCCTTATTTGAGTCTGAGTGCCAGGTTCAAGAAGAATGGAAAGTCATCTTGTAATCACTGAGGTCAACAAAGGTTTTGTAAGCATCTCTTCAATCCCTTACCTCATGTGGGGGATGCCTGCAGTCTCTGCCAAAATAATCCACACTATGGTTCTTTACCTTCCATAATCAGAGATGATCTTAGTCTCGTCCTACTCAACCCAGCAACATTTTAGGGAGACCTTGATATAGGAAACTGTGAGTAAGAGCTGTCAGGCAAGTGCAATTTGCTGATGAAAATTAAGTCACTGTCATTACTGTCAATTTGAGCACAGGTGTACAATTTGTTCAACTGTTTGAAATGGCTAAATTACTGTATGTACCATACTCAAACCTCAAACAATTTCCTTTCAATCGCTCCCCACCCCACGGACATACAAAGACTTTTCAAATGAAGGTATGTTGGAGGTAAATGAAAGACTTTAATTGGATATTTTATACATTTGGCACTTTGTTTTCCTCCTAATTTTGGAGGACAGTGCTTATAAAGAGAGTCTAAAAGGTCACTGTTGTTTACATATCTATCTTCTAAGCAAAATTAAAAGGCAAGTATGTTTGTAAAAAGCAAAATGATGAGCAGCTGTCAGCTCCAAATTGCTCATGTATTACCTATGGATTTCTCTCCCCAGTTACAAGCACTCTGTAAAAATATCAACCAAAGAAATGAATCAGACTCTCTTTAAAACTGAGCTCCTAACAGAGCAATCACATCCATAGGGTGCCACATCCTGATTCTTTGGGTAAAACAATGTTGCTAGAGGATGGCTGGATAGCTGCCAAAACCAGGCAAAGTGGCCCTGGAAAGCTGAGTCACTTTCTAGAGCTACAGGAAGACAGGCAAGTAAGCAGAATAAGGAACTAGTGAACCCCTCACAAAAATGATGGTGCCTGGCCCTAAGAAGTCCTTTTTGGGAGGAGGGAGAAAGGAGAGGAGGGGAAGGAGAGGGAAGTGGAGAGGGCGGAGAGGAGGAAGGGAGAAAAGGGAAAAAGAAGGAGAAATTTTAGTTTGAAATAATTATAAACTCATAGGAAATTACAAAAGCAGTACAGTACTCTATCAGGCTCCCTCAATAGTACATTTTACATAAAGATAGTACAGTGTCAAAACCAAAAAAAAGACACAGGTTTAGAACTCTTCACTAGAGTACAGGCCTTAAATTTCAATACCTTTTACACATACTCATTTGCATATGAATGATTTCCTCTATATAATTCTACATAATTCTATAACTCATTTGCACTATATAATTCTACACAATCTTTTAAATCCATCTCCAAACTATCATAACAGTCAAGCTATGATGCTTAACTGCCACCACCAAGCAACACTGTGCAACCTCCTTATGTATAACTGTACCTTAGCCTCACACTCTGCTCCCTCTTATCCCTAAACCCTGGTAACCACTAATTTGTTTTTCATCTCTGTAATTCTCACATCTGGAGAATGTTATATAAATGGAACCACAGTCTGTAGCCTTCTAAGTTTGACTTCTTTCTTTGAGCATAATGCTCTTGAGATACCCAAATGAATTTCCTTTTATTGCTGAATAGTATTCCATCATACAGACGGACAGTTCATTTAACCAAGTACTGAAAAATATTTGCATTATTTCCTGGGTTTGGCTATAACATAAACATTTGCATACAGGTTTCTTTTTTAAAAAATAAAATAAATGACATAAAGTGTAGGTTATATGAGAAGCATATCTTTTGTTTTATAAGAAACTATCACACTATTTTCTAGAGTAGCTATACTATTTTACATTTCCACTGACAATGTCAGATTTGGTTTATCCATATCTTTGCCAGTATTTAGTATTACCACCATTTTTATTTTATGCCTTGCAACAGATATATGCCGATACCTCACTGTGGATTTAATTTGTATTTGTCGAATGGCTAATGATGCTATCACCTTTTCATATGCCTATCTGCCATCCACATATTCTTTCTCATGAAATGCATGTTTCTTTCCTTTGCCCATTTTTAAAATAAGCAATAGGTTTTTACTGTTCAATTTTAAGAGTTCTTTATGTATTCTAGATACAAGGCCTTTGTCAGATACAGATAGTCCTTCCTTTGCACAGAGCTGAAATGCCACAGTTTAAATAACACAGTTTAAATAACACCAATCTCCCAAGACTCGAATTTAGTTACATAATGCATTAACTGTATGAAATAACACCAATCTCCTATGACTTGAATTTTAGTTACATAATGCATTAACTGTATGAAATACATTCCTGCTAATTCCTCGGTTCCAAAGTCACTATATAATTTAAATGCCCATCAGCAGCAGCAACAACTGATCATATGACTTCTTTCAAAGTTGCTGGAGATTTGTCACTGGGCATCTGCATTTCATATACAGATGCAAAAAGTATAGTTACGAAGCATCCTTATCTCCCAGTGACAAATGCACATAATATTGCACAAAAGTGGATAATCAAAGGAGAGAACTGCCTGTAATCTCAACATTTGGGAATCTGAGGCAGGAGGATCACCACAAGTTCAGGGTTAGCCTGGGCTACACAGTGGGTTCAAGACCAGACTGAGCTACATAGCAAGACCCTGTCTTAATAGAGAGAGATGGAGGGAGAGAGGGAAAGAGGGAAGGAGGAGGAGAGAGGAAGAGAGAGAGAGCAAGTGAGAGAGCTGGTCACCAAAGATGAAAGAAATAAGAAATGGTAACGCTAGCAGTACAATTCAAATTGAACATACATAGAGTTTTAGAAGGAAAAGTGGATCATGGGAAAGTTGGCACTGATGCTGTTTGATAAACTCTAGGTGTACAGCCAAAGAAACTTAGCAAAGGCAAACCTCCAAACATAAATTTAAAAAGTGAGGAAAAGAATGAAGTGACACTGGCAAAAACTCCACATTATAGGAACTCTGAGAAGTTTCACAACACTGAAAACACTATCGATAAAAGGTTAGAAACTGATCCACTCTTAGAAAGGAGCATTATAATTCACTAAGACCCAGACAGATGCTTGCTCCGTATCAAATCACACAGTGAAAAACTAAACACTATTCAATCTACTCTCTGACAAGTTTTTTCCCTAAAGAAATAAAAACTTTAATTTTAATGTTTCTAGTGTTTTAAGTTACAGTGTACTAAGTAAATATTAGTATTCCCACTTTTCCATTTCTGTATACATTTATAACTGATAGCAATGTGTTTTTCAATGTTTGGCAAAATATTTTAAAGGTCATGGAACAATCACAATTTTTCCTTTGTTAAAGATTGTTTTGCAGAGTTTCAGCTCAAATGGTTGTTTTTTTGGTACCATGTGATAACAAAAGGAAGAGTGTTGGTGTATGGTTTCTGAATATTTCCTCCCAGTGGCCTATCTTTCCAATGACTTACCAGGATCTTTCAAAGAAAAAAAGTTTTCAATTTGGTAGAGTCCACTTATTAATTTTTTGTTTCTTTTAAGGACTGTGTATTTTGAGTCATGTCTTAAGAACTGTATCTGGTTCTAATTTGCAGGGATTTTCTACATTCTAAAAGGTTCTATTTTCAGTTTTACATTGTACATTTAAATATACAGTTTTGAATTAATTTTTTACTAAGGTGTGAGGTTTAGGTTACAGTTCATTTTTTTGCTTACAGATATTCACTGTTTGTTGAAAAGACTATTTGTCTTCCATTGAATTCCTTTTGCACTGCTGTCAAAAATCAGTTGGATATATTAGTGAGTCTATTTCTGGCTTGTCTGCTTTATTTTACTAATATGTATTTCTTCTTCCCATTAATACCCCATTATGTTGATTACCCTAGCTGTAAAGTAAATTTTTACATGAGGTAGAGTGATTTTTCCCACTTTACTATGCTTTTTCAAAACTGTTTTAGTGCCTTCCTTGCTTTTGCTGTCTTCTGCCTGCTATGAACTGGTTTTCCTCTGATGCCCTCTGTCATCCCCCCTTGTCCTGGAGGCAGCTGACTAAGGACGGAAACTTCTGTAAACCGTGTCCAAATCAAACTTTCTGCCCTTAAAAAAATGGTTTTAGCTATTCATGTTTCTTCATCTTTCTATATTAGCTTCAGAATAAACTTATATGTATAAAAAATCTTACTTGGATTTTTATTACAGTTGCATTTAAACATATAGATCACGTTGGGGGAATTGAAATTTTTACTATTTGAGCCTTCCAATCCACAGACACAGTATGTCACCATTTATTTAAATCTTTAACTTCATCATCTTTTATCAACACACATGATTTTCAGCACACAGATCCTGTGCATGTTTTGATGAATTTATTCCTCAATATTTTATTTCACAGAGGACCAAACATCATTTGAGGGGTTTTGTTTCGTTTTTGAGACAGGGTCTTGCTATGTAGTTTAGGCTGCCTTGAACTCTCAGTGAAGCTCTTGCCTCAGCCATCCAAGTACTGAAATGACACGGCATGAAAAACTTATACAGCTTTTGTTTCTAATTGCAGTTTCCACATATTCACTTATCATATAGCAAAACACAACTGATTAGTGTTGCTTTTATATCCTGTCATCTAGGTGAATTCAATTATTATTCTAGAAGGTAGGTCTATGTATTTGGTACATATATATAGAAAATTGGTACCATTATAGAAATAGTTTTATTTCTGCCTTTCCAATCTATATAGCTTTTTTAATTTAATTTTTTATTTTAAAGAGAATAAAACAAAAAGAGAACATAACAAAGCAAATCAGAACAAACAAAGCAAGCAACACAGCACAATAAGACAACCAGACATCAAGAGTAGCTACCATAATGTCTCTTCTCTTTGAAAT